GGCTTGGAATTGGGAAAGATAATTTATCACAAATAAGTTACTGGCCAAGTGTGGTGAATGCCTGTAATCTCAGCTCTGGGGAGGCTGAGGCAGGAGGGTTATAAATTCAGGCCTGCCTGGGCTACGTATAATTAAACCTTGTGATAGGGAGATTAAATTATTACCATTGTCAAGGCAAAGAATGAAATCAATGAGAGGGCCTAGAGGGATGGCTCAGCGGTTAAGAGCACTGGCTGCTCTTCCAGAGGACCTGGGTTCAATTCCCAGCACCCACATGGCAGCCCAGTGTCAGGGGATCTGATGCCTTCTTCTGGGCTCTGCAGACCCTGCATATGTGTAGTATACAGACATACATGCAGGCAAAACACCCATATAAAAATGCATAATAAATAAACCCTTAAAGAAAAAGCACTGGGATCAGTGTGTTGGATCAAAGGTCTCACAGCAGTTTCCTCTGTCTCTCACCAGATTTGTCCAGGGCTCTGGGTGTAATCAAAACTTGTGTTTGTTCGTCCTCATCTCCAACCTCTTCTTCCCACAGTCACTGTGGCAACCATGACAAGATCCTGGGCTCCAGCTTATTACTATACTATCAGGTGACCCAAACAGACCCTTTGTGATGAAGGAACAAGAGAAAGAGAAAGAGGACAGATGGTGATAGCTAAACTGCAAAGCTCCGGAGTGGAGTACCGATGTAACATGAAGAGTAAAGAAGCCACCATGAGATTTCTGAAACTGAGGCAGGCAACCTACAAGAGATAGAATGAATACATGGAGATCCTCAGAGGGCCATCAGGGCACCAGGCCCTGTTTTGACATAAGGCCAGCCTGAACCCTGCCTGGAGCTCCCACCATGGTCCCCCAGGCTGGTTGCCACTGAACCCTTTCCTCCACCAGCACACTCCACAGCGAGCTCCCTGGCTCCAGTTCTGCATCCTCAACTCATCTTCCCTTCCCTTTACCGATGCCAAGCGCGTTTTAATTACACCACTTGACAATAGATTTTAAGTTCTGGGAAGATAAGTTTCCTAACTGTTCTTTTTTTAAACATTCCTGCCATCTAGTTCAAACATGTTCATTCTTCCAGATAAATTTAGACTCATTTCATCGATTTTTTTTTTAAAGGCAAAAACATGGCTCATGGACTTTGATCCGAATGATCTTCACTCGCCGATTGAGCAGCAGGGACCAGGGATGTCTGTGCAGACTTAACGATTGCTCCCTGAGAGTCAGGCGCTGTGCTCAAGGACATTTATGATCCCTGTGAGGCTTTGGCAGATCTGAGAATGTTGTGCACATTTCTTAAGGTCACTCTCCCTTGTCTTATGTTTGAGTTCTCTTGTTGTTCTTACCAGAGTTTTAGTCTGTGGACTACAGCGGACACCTCTGCTGCCTCCCCTCACATCCGCTTGGCCCACGGCCAAGCTTGCACAGTCTCAGGCAGGTAGGTTAAGCAGCTTGTTGTACTGATGATGTCCACTGCAAGCTTGAGTCACACGCTCCGCTCCAGAACTTTCTCTAGAGCCATTTGGAACCAGTTCAAATATGGTGCAGAGCTACCTCGAATTAACAGCTGTGGTGAGCAGGGACCGGTGGGCAAATCCTCCAGTCAATTCCTCCTTATGTCAGCCATGCTATATGCTCAGGAGGTGCTCACCATCACCTCAGTTGCCAAACACAGGCAGCAACTAGGTAACGCCCTCCAGGCCACAGGCTTCTTCAGCTCCTAAGAAACCACCTCCCTCAACCCCTTCCCACAGGCTCTTCTCTTAGGAGACTCAAACTGAGACAGAAATCTCCAGATTCTGACTCCTAAATGTTTCCCTCTTACCAAGGAATCATCGCATCTGCCTGTACCCAACTACCATGCAGAGGCTGCTCACCCTGACTTAGAGCAGGGAGCTCTATGATGCTTCAGGTAACAAAGAGTCCTAGACAAAGGGACCACAGAGATGACAGACAAAAATGGCTTGTGGAGAGAGCCAGAGGTGGGGAATCAAAACCCAGATGAATATGATTTCCTCTCCTTGACTCTCCTGGGCCTCCCACTGGCAACATGTACATAGACTTGCGTGTGTCCTGCTATACAACGCAGCTAGCTATCGCTGTGTACTTCATTCTCTGTCGTCTTACCATTTGAGACACTGCTGAAAGGCTTGCAGCACTGACGCCCAGCTCCACAGCCCTCCTCAGCTTGCTGCACTGCAAATCTAAGCCAGTGCCCCCCATCCCTGTCAATTCTACATTCCATGCCACAATTGATTTCAGATGATAAAGAGAATTAAGACAGTGCCCGGGGAGAGTTAGAACATCCAGCAGAGGTTCCCTGATGAGGATACTACTTGGAACAGAGTGGGTACAAAAGTCATTACCATCAGCTACAGAAACGCATCTGACTTAAGGATTGACTTACAATTAATTCTTCTACCTCACAAATGGTGGAAACACGGTGTTCATGTGGCAGGTCCATGCTGTGGGTTTTGAACTTATATCTTTTTCTAGGCAAGCAATATGACACATGGCCCCTGTCCTCATCAGCTTTTTTTATTGCTGTTTTAAAATATTAATAGCAACTTGAGGAACAAAGGGTCTGTTGACTTACAGTTCTTTTTAGTAATGCCAGGCAGCGACAGTCACAGCCCACAAGCAGCCACACTATCAGGAGAGACAACCATGTTCTATGTATCACTTGTGTATAGTGATTTCTGATGGTCAGTATTGGCACATTATAAATGCATGTGCCAGCTGGGGAGAGTGCCCACACAGAAGGATTGGGACCTGAGTCTATACCAGCACCCATGAAAAAAATAATAAGCCAGGCATAGCATTATTGGACAGTGGGAGCAGAGAGCTATGAGCTCTAGGTTCAGTGACCCTGCCTCAAAAATAATAAGGTAGAGAACAATTGAGAAGGATGCTCAACATCAACCTGTGGTCCCACGCATAACAACATGTGCACACAAGCAAAATGCATTCACCGCTCACAATGAATTTATCAGATGATAAATCTTAAAGCATCTGCATATTTCTACCATGGAATTTTCCATTTGTTGCTGTTTAGGGGTTTTCTTTTCTTTTTATGGTTATGTAGATGGGTTCATACTGTATGATTATTTTTTCAGTTTGTATATGTCACATAAGCTTTTTTGTTTGTTTGTTTGTTTGTTTGTTTTTGTTTTTGAGATAGGGTTTCCCCTGGAACTTACTCTAGACCAGGCTGGCCTCAGATTCACAGAGATCCTCCTGCCTCTGCTTCCTGAGTGCTGGGATTAAAGGCCACCACCACTTGGCCTTTAAGAACATAAATTCTTAAAAGTCATTTTTTAATATTTATTTTGCCAGACAGCCTGGGCTACAGAGTAAGTTCCAGGACAGCCAGAGCAACACAGAGAAACCCTGTCTTGAAAATCAAAATAAAATAAAATAAAATATTTCTTTTATTTTTAACATGTGAATGTGTGTATGTCTGTGTAAGTGTATGTCATGTTTGGGGTACCTTCAGAGACCAGAGGTGTCAGATCCCTGGAACTGGAGTTAAGCCTGTTGTGGTTGCTAGGAATTCAACATGGGATCTCTGGAAGAACAATGCACTTTCTTAACTGGTCAGCCATCTCTCTAGCTCTTCTAAATGTCTTTTTTAAAAAGATTTATTTATTTATTATGTATACAGTGTTCTGTCTGCATGTATGCCTTCTGGGAGCACCAGATCTCATTACAGATGGTTGTGAGCCACCATGTGGTTGCTGGGAATTGAACTCAGGTCCTCTGTAGCCAGTGCTCTTAACTTCTGAGCCATCTCTCCAGCCCCCTTTTAAAAAATCTCTTAAACATGATCCACATACAGCAACTACTACTTCACATTTGTGTCATATACTCAAGCCAATTTCCTTGAAGAGAGGTCTGGCTGGGCAATGTCCCTAGCACAGGCCTGCTCCCAGCCAAATCAGGGAGCTTAGCCAAAGGAGATAGCCTACTGGCTGCTTGTGAGCATGGGAAAGAATTCCCTCAAATAGAACTGACTAATGTTTACTACAGTATCTTTTCACATTTCTCGGTTGAGTTTTTCTCTTGAAATTTTGTAGTTCTTTATAGTCTGGATATTAATTACTCATTATAAATGCTGCAAATATTTCATCCAAGTCTGTTGCTTGTTTCTAATTTTAGTTGTCAGATTTGCCAATCTTTTCTGTAGAGGAAAAATATTGTTTTCTGCATTGCATTTGTAAAAAGAACACATACATATTACTTCATTTATATAGACATGTATTATACATATATATATATATACATATGTATATACACATATATGTATGTGTGTGTATCATTTCTTATATTTTGGCATTATTTATAGGCAAACATTTTGCCCAGTTTTGTTAATAATTCTGTGTCTATAACTGATTTGTCCTCACTCCCAGCCTTAGTTGTTGATTATTCTAATTTTTTTAAAGATTTATTTATTATGTATACAGTGTTCTGCCTGCATGTATGCCTGCAGGCCAGAAGAGGGCACCGGATCTCACCACAGATGGTTGTGAGCCACCATGTGGTTGCTGGGAATTGAACTCAGGACCTTTGGAAGAGCAGGCAGTGCTCTTAACTGCTGAGCCATCTCTCCAGCCCCCATGATTATACTAATATTAATGTTCTGTCCTCATGTGTTTGTAACCCTCAGTTGTGTATTCATCACATTTATTCAGTCTATGACATTTGTTGTGATAAATACAACAGCCCAGTGTATTCCGTTCCAGCTCACTCCACATTCCATGCTGGGGGTCTGAAGTTCTCTTGTCTAGCCAGAATCAATCCTATTTCCCAACTGAGATTTAAGGACAGGATAACTTCCTCAATCTGTCATACCTATACATAGCAAAGCCAGGCTGCTAGCCAGACGGTGTGGTCCAAAGCTGTCCTGTTTTCCCAGCAAGGCTGCTGGCCTGAGGCCTTTCCAAAGCTAGCAACCCATTCATGGTTCCTAATCCCCAATGACCAGACAGCTCATGGATGGTTAAGTATATTTCTGTTCTTTTTACTCTTAAAAAAAATCAACAATAGTAAAGTTGCACGCTGCACAAAGTGTCGTAGGTCTCAATAACCCCACCCACCATGCATCATAGCACACTCCTCAAACACCATTCTTTACCCTTCCCTTAAAATCCTAGATGAAGATTCCCAAGGCTGTGGAGACGCCTAGGTAGGATCTCCCAATTCCAAACCTCGGCAACTCAAGGCACTAAGAAAATAAATTAAGGGGAGGGAGGCTCCTAATTGGTCTTGCCCAACTCTGTCTCACAGACCCAGCGGTAGGACCTCTTGCAGACGTCATCATTCCAGCGGCCATCTGAGGTGAAGTGGGCACAGTCCTCGCCGCCTCCAAGCCCGTGCCCATACCAGTCGTCAGGCTGCTCTGGTCTCCAGTTCCTACAGACAAAAGACTGCTGTGAGCCTCTGAGAATCAGACTCCCATCCACCCATGCTCCTGGGAGATCTCCAGCCTTGGCAACACAGGCTGGGAAGACACTCACTTGAAGTTTGTCTCATAGTCGGTATCATCCACCCATTTCCAGGGCCCATTCTGATCAGTTAGGCCAATCCAAGTGTTTATAGGGCCCACGTGATGCTGGACAAATTTCTGAGGAAAGAAAACAGAGCTGGTGGCCTATCCCTTCCACCATCCATGTCCCAGAAGAACCCACAGTGGCCTCACCTGCTCGCCCCAGGAGGTGACCACCACCAGGTGGGCATTCTCCAACTGGCAGTACTTGTTGGCCTCAGCCCAGGACCTCCCAGAGCTGGAGAACCAGTAGCAGCTGCCTTCATACTCCACCCAGTTGATGGGGCAGCAGGTCCTTTCAGAGCCTGAGGTGGGAGGTGGGGGTGAAGGGTTGAGATGCTACGGAGGGTGGGGGTGGTCAAGAAAGTGGGGCTGCTAACTCCGCCCCTCACCGTTGCCCTGAAGCGCAGCCATCTGACAGCTCAGGCTTCTCAGGTCAGACACTAACTGCTTCACATTCAGCAGCAAGGTGGAGTGATCTGGAGTGGCAGAGGACAGAAGGGGAGCAGAGGGAAAGGGGGGGCAAAGAAATTAGCTGAGTGTGAACATTGCGGAACAACCAATCATCACAGACCCTCTGGCCAAAGCTTTGATCTGGGCTGAGACCAACCCCTCCCCGATGCCCAACCCATCACCCTCACCTCTCCCCCTCCCCCTCCACTCCCCCTCCCCCACCTTCGCTCAGATCCTGTTGCTGTTTCTCCAGCTGTGATTCCAGTAGCTTCATCTTTCTCCCCACACTACCTCCTAGAGGAGAAACTTGTTGAGTGTCCTAACAACAGTACCACCCCTCAGCCCCGCCCGAGGCCCGGGCTGGCCCCCCTCACCCTGGGTGCTCAGGATCTTGACCTGGTCCTCAGTGCTCACAGTGAAGTTGCTAAAATTCTGCCTTAGAGCCAGCAGATCGCCCCGGAGTTGGGAGTCTAGGCAAGAGAGGGTGTGGGTATGAAAACATAAATTGCGCTGGACGGTAGTGATGCCCACCTTTAATCCCAGCACTCGGGAGGCAGAGACAGGCAGATCTCTGTGAGTTCGAGGCCAGCCTGGTCTATTGAGCAAGTTCCAAGACAACCCTGTCTCAAAAAGAGAGAGAGAGAGAGAAAGCAAAAATTGCCCGTGTTTACCCACCACTGCATCCATCTCTCCCTCACACACACCCAAAGTTGCCCCCTTTCTCTGCCCAGCCCTGGCCACCCACTTTGGGATGCGATCACACTGACAACCACCAGCAACAGGAGGCTGAGGCCCAGGGAGAGCAGGAGAAGGCGGGATCCAGAGCAGAGACGTTGTAAGAGCGATGGGGAGGGGGGCGGCCCTGCAAGAGAAGGAGTCAAGAGTTCACCGGCCCAGGCCAACCTCGTGTAGAACCCGGGTTCCTAGGAAGACAGCAGCCTCTCCAATAAACTAAGTGAAACCATATATATATATGACAACCCTGTAGGACCGGACGCAACCTAAGATGAGGAAGAAAAGGAGCTATTTCAGAATTGCAAAGCTTTGACCTGCCCTAGCATTGCCGAGGTCCTGGACCTCTGCTGCCCCCTCGTGGCATGCTCCTGTCATTACAGGTGCGTAGTCTGCACCTCTGCCCCTTAGGGAGTCACTATTCCACCAAGGTGTGGGGAAAGTGGGTTTCTTCCCCTCTCCGTGAATCCTGTGCATCTTTGGTTGCATGCAGGGAGAGAAGGGAGTCTCCCGCCAAAGAATAAAATGACAGTCCTGTCAGTTACCCTGTGGCGCCTTCTCCCCAGTGCTCCTCCTGTACAAAAGCACACTGCCCACCTGGGATACCTCAAGACTCTGACCTTGTTCTGCTTGCACAACAGTCCCTAACCAAAGGACAAAAAAATGAGGAGAGGGGTTTGTTTGAGGTGTAGGATGCTTCCTCTTCCATCAGAGCAGAGACCCCCCCCCAATGCCCTCTCCAAGGGTCCTCAACCTAGCCCCTTGGACCAAAAGCTGGTCCTGGTTCCCCACGGCCACCGCTCATACACAATGTCGAAGCTGAAGAAAGCAAGGGGCCTAAATTCAGAAGAGACTGACAACAAATTCATCTCCCCAGCCTTCAGTAGTCCCCAAGTCTTGGATCCACCCACTGCCTGGGGTCTTGAGAAGTGAGTGAGGAAGCTTGGGAACTGCCACTCAGAAAGACATCAACGCTGGGTCCTGTACCCACCTCCCCAGCAAGGGTGACTCAGCCACTGTTTTCTGAGAGCATGGGACAGAGCTAGGGGTTGCAGGGGAAACAGGAGCTGAGATGGAGGGATGGAGCCACTGATTCTCGCTGGTGGGGAGCACCCCTCACCTCTCTGGAGTCGATGAAGGTCATTCTCCTCATTGTCCAGGTGTTGGAAATCTTGATAATCTTTTGTCATAATAGCACTGGAGCTGGACCTAGGACAGCCAAGTTTAGAGCCAAGGCTGGGACTTACAGGCCCAGATCTGGAAGTCCCATCCCGTCTGTGTCTGCCTGGGTGACTTACAGGAGCACAGCACCTTGCTTCTTCCCTCCAGTGGCTCCCAAGCCCGACACTCAAAACTCTATCCTCCAGCTGAGCATGGTGGTGCATGCCTTTAATCCCAGCACTGAGGAAGCATACATGAGTGGATCTCTGAGTTCGAAGCCAGCCTGATCTACATAGTTAGTTCTAGGCCAGCCAAGACTACATCCTAAGAAAAAATCTACGCTCTCAAATTTACACACACACACACACACACACACACACACACACACACACACACACACGACCTCGTATTACCGGACCCCTCTACCCACTCCCTCACCTGCCTACCTTCTGTGTTTCCTCATCCTGCCTTACTTACTGAAGGTCCCTCAACACCACTCAGGGTCCAGGCTAAGGAGAGGGATGAAGTCTGAAGAATCAGGTGGACAGCCTTGGACAATGCGAGGGAAGGGGACAGGGTCCATCCAAGGGTCCTGTGTGCCTGGCTGGCTGTGTGTCTGAGCACGCTGAACCTGGCATCACCAATGTCAGGACTTTGGACTTTAAACAGAAATAGATTTGGAAGTGGGGAGGTGTTTGGAGTGGAAAGAAGGCATGGGTGACCATTATTCTATTTCTCTCTCCGAGAAGGGGAATCTCCTGACACACACACACACACACACACACACACACACGCACACACACTCCTGCATTGCACCCCACTTGGATACTGTTTACATCTTTGTGGGGAGACAGGGCCAGGGTGCCTTTGCTGTTTTCTCTCAGAGCCCTCCCCCTTTCCGTTCTGAATTTCCCAGAATTGTCCATTCTCCAAACACCCCTGACCAGGATCAGAGACACCAGCTGATCCCCAGCTCTTGCCCAATCCTGCCCTGTGACCTTGGCATTATAATTGCAAGCTGTAGATTCTTTGGGGCTCAGCTCCAGGTTCCCCGGCCCTGGCCTGACCCACTCACTCTCCTGTGGTCCTCCAAGCAGCACGGAGGTGACAGAAGGATCAATTCTTCCCTAGGATTGGGGCCAAGAAAGCCCTGATTCTGCCCCAGGGCTTCAACAGTTTTCATACCCAGAGAGCAACCCATTCTGCAGACAAGAAAACTGAGGCCCTGGAAGGCAAGCGCTTGCCTTCCTGCCATACTTCACAGAAGAGTGCAGAATAAAACATGAGCAGCCCAACTCCGTGCCCTGTATACTGCCTCCAGCACTTTACCCAGAACAAGGTTCCCAGAAGGTTCACACACTAGGTCCCCAAGTCCCCAGAGATGCTTAAGCATGGCCCCTCACAGTCTTGAAGGCTTCAGAGATGGCTGTCAGAACCTGGATACTAGCTTGGAAAGTGAGCAACATTAAAAATATCAACAGGCCCTGTGTTAGGCTGAGAACTAGACTCCAACTGTGGCTGTCTAGATCCTGTGAGCTATTCAGGAAGGCATTGCTTACATAAACGCAACTGTTCCGTGTGTCCTTGTTTGTCTGTGTCCTAAAAATCCTCATGTTTACATGGACTAGGCTTGCTGCCAGTGATTTTGGTGAAAAATGGGCCATTAATTTAACACTCTCTGATTTTGCCACTTATGATCTAGTTTATTCTGGAAAACAAACAGACCCGGATCCAGTATGAATAGTAGTTACGCTCACAGAAGTAGTGATGGGCAGGAAGCAAGGCAGGATGTAGAGGTGAGAGGGCAGGGTGTAGGGGTGAGGAAGTGGGGTGTGGGGATGAGGACACACCTCGTTTTTTTGGTCTCTGGATGCTGGTGACACCTTGGCATTGGCTTGTAAAACTGCAAAACGCTGTAAACTTGGGATTTTTGCCCTTTCTCTTTGCGGGCTGTTCTGAACAAGGCATTTTGAAATCTGGTTTGTACCCTAGAGCCATGCCATAAGCTCAGGGAAAAGAGCAGCACTGGACTAGTGTTGACTGTGTGTGTGTGTGTACACGCATACACACACATGTGTGTGCATGTATGAATGAGTGTAGGTGTGGATTGTGAATGTTTGTGGATTGTGTGTGTGTGTAGTTTTTCATCCCTTTCCAATAGATTTCTATTTAGACAAATACATTTTATAATGCATGTATACTAGACCTGAACCACTAGATATGTGTATGAGTCACATATTATAAAATAGCTATCCCACAACTTAGCAACTTAAACAATAGACACAGATAGTCTTGTTGCTAAGATCAAAGTGCAGTTTCACCCATTGGCTCTGTCTCAGGGCCTCTCCTGAGTACACCAGGACCCCAGTAAGTAGTCGCATTCTCTGAAAGACTGGACTAAGACCGGGAAGTCAACCGACCAAGTGGCTCACTCAGATGACAGGAGAGTCACCACTCAATGCTGTTTGGAGCCCTCTGTTCCTCACCCAGTAGGCCTCTCCGCAAGGCTGCTTGAATTCCTCATGACATAACTGCTGGCCTAACCTCAGAGGAACAGCCCTCCATTTCCACACTGTCCTACCAGTCTCTCAGGAAAAGAACTAACACAGTGTAAGTCCCAGGAGGCGAGAATTCCTGGGACCATCTTGAAGGAGCAGTAAGCACATACCAAGAAGACATGTGTTCAAAGACATCTAACTGATATCATTATATGATCAATACATTTAAAGACAATGTGGCCACATTGCAGCGACCGTGAAGAGCTGCAGTTCTGTTGGAGATATCACTTGGTGATAGAGAGCTCTGTGGGCATGCCAAAAGCCTTGGATCCAGTCCCCAACCCTACAAAAACCGGAAGGAGGTGGGTACAGCCAGATACCTAAAGTGTGCAACTGCCTGCCTTGGGGTAGAAATTGGGTCAGAGGGGCTAACTGGCCCAGATGCAATGAGACCAATCAGGAATATGCCTCTGAAAGGTATATCTTGTCTTCTTCTTCCCCATCTCAGCTCCCTGACAACAGCCTTCTTTATCACACCCTCTATACTGCCATGATGTTCTGGAGCCAGCCAAACATGGACTGAGCCCTCTGAAACCCTAGACCAAAAAAAAAAAAATTCCTCCCGTAAGCTGTTTTCTCAGGTATCATTTCTCAGCAGCAACAACAACAAACATAGACCTAATGAATCCTGTGACCAGGGGAGAGCAGAGAATGTCAGGGATGCCAGCCGGGAGCTGGAGATGACCAAGAAGAGAGAGAGAGAGAAAGGAGTCTCCTTTGGGGAAAACCAGAGCAAGGGAAGTATTTTTCATGTTGGTAGAGGCCTGAAGCCTTGCAAAGCTGAGAAGGAACTGGCCAAGGTGAGCGCTTGAATACTAAGGATGAGCAAGAGATGCCAGGGACTGGAGGCCCCTCAAAGGGAAAGTGAGAGAAACCTGAAGCCTGTCATCAGACAGTTCCAGGTTCATCGGAGAAGTTAGATTAATGCCCATCTCAAGGGTTTGTCCAAGTTAAAGATGGTGGGTCAGCAGTGCATAGTTCCGAGCAGGCCCATGCTGAATGCTGTGTGCTGACTCTTCATTTTCACTAGCAGCCCAGCAAAAACTGGGCTGTGTCTTGGCTAGTTTTTTCTTGCTGTAAAGAGACGCCATGACCAATGCAACTTATTTTTTTTAAAAAAAAAAAATTTAATTGGGGGCTTGCTTACAGTTTCAGAGGGTGAGTCCATGACCAACATGGCAGGCAGGGAGCATGGCAGCAGATAGGCATGGTGCTGGAGCAGTAGCTGAGAGCTCACATATGATCCCCAAACAGGAAGCAGAGAGAGCAAGACTTTTAGACCTCAAAGCCCATCCCTGGTGACACAACTCCCCAACACCTCTTAACCCTTCCCAAAACTGCTCCACCAACTAGGGGTGAAGCCTTCAATATATGAGGGCTGAGATGAAGCTGGAAAGGTTGAGTGATGGGTGCTGGATGGATGGCTGGGGATAAAGCTTCGGGAAGAGAGAAATAGCTAGGACCCGTGTACCAAGTGTAGGATTGAAGCTGACAGCTCCTGGGAGGCTGCAGTACCCCAGCTCTGCAGCTGATGGCGCCCTCCTTAGAAAACAAAGGAAGCCTAAGCCACCAAAGTCCAGCAGGGTTCCTCACCATCCTGCCTTGCACCTCCCCAGTTTCATTCTTTCCAGCCCAGGTACTTACACCCCAAGTTTGCAGCCCTAGAGCAATTGGGGTTCTGTGGCCGGGTGTTTCTCTGTCTCTTTTCTTTCATGGCGTGACAATTTAAGAGAAAGTTAAAAAATAAAAGAAAAGAAACCAAATGCTATGGTTTTTATGTAACTTTCAGGTTTATCCAATAACTGAAGGGACCCAGAGCCAATCACACACCTTGTAACTAAGGGCTTTACAAGCACTGTTCCATGTTATTCCTGTTAAGGACCAAGCTAGGTAGACAGTTACTGTTGCCACTTTACAAGCAGAGAAACAGGCTGAGAGGTTAAGCTGACCCAGAGTGTCAGCAACACCACAATATCCTCTCATATCAATGGGGCAATTACCTCTAGGCTTTCTATCGCCCCCTTCTGTACATTCTCTACTGGCACCTAAGACTCCTGCCAAAATAGATCCTGCCACTCTGATAGCTTCTCTGTTTTCTTGTTTTGCATTGCCTCTTGATATTTATTTATCGTACGGATGTGTACATGCAGAGGTCAGAGGCAACTTCTTTCCCTCCACCACGTGAAACTGAACTCATGCCATCAGGCTTGGCAACAGCACCTTTTCCCACCAAGTAGCAGGGCTAGAAAGCCTATGCGCGGGGTCCTGCTTACTTCTCTCCTCCGCTACACCCCAGCTCCCTCCAGTCTTCCAAACTTAATTCCTAGTTGTTCCCCTTGGCACATTCCTCCGCCTGTCTTTGCCATCATTTATGTCTCAGCACAGTGTTGTACCAGGCCACACACCTAAACTAGCCTGAGATAGTGTTCACTTCCTCTTTGTTTCTTTTGGTTTGGTTTGGTTTTTTGAGACAGGGTTCCTCTGTGTAGACCCAGCTGTCCTGGAACTCACACTGTAGACCAGGCTGGCCTCGAACTCACAGAGATCCACCTGCCTCACTGGAATTAAAGTCATGTGCCGCCACCACTGCCTGCCTAAACAGATGTCCAACAGTCACGTTATTTGCTTAATGGCTCTTGTCACTTTAAATTATCTGCATCCATTTTCATCCTTTTTTTTTTTTTTTTTTCATTCCCTCTGATGGATCCCAGGTTCTCTGTATTTAGAACATAAACTGGAACCAGAAAAGAGCCAAGGAGGATTTGATGGAGGACATAAAGAGGGCAGGGAAAGAGATGCTGGGGTTTGAATCCAAGTCAGTTTGGGAGTCCAGGGCTCTTCTCTGCCTTCTGGGGCTGGGGAGGTGGCTCCGTGGTTAAGAGCACTGGCTGCTCTTCCAGAGGACCTGGGTTTGACTCACAGCACCCACACGCTGACTCACAACCATGTGTAACTCCACTTCTAGGGGCCTGACACCCTCTCCTGGCTTCTGAGGGCACCTGGCAGACACAGCACACAGACACAAATAGAGACAAAACAC